GGTGCTGGCAGGGCTCAGCAGTCACAGCATTACCACCAGTGAGCAGGAACCAGGGTGGCTTCCAGCTGCCTCAAGGGAGAAGGAAATGGGGTAACTGTGGGTTCAGCTGCTGCTGTGGGGTGGGACTGGCTGACTTTTATAGAGAGGAGGGTGGCAGAAGCCACCCAGGAGGACAATTTCATGGGAAAAAAGCATAAAGTGCATTATCATGCTTAAGTGATTAAAGAAAAAAAAGCCTCCTGAACATCAGCATCTTACAAATATACAGCAATCACCCTGAGGCAGATGGAGAGATTGTCACATTAGGCTAAATTAGCTCCCCTTTGCTCAGAATTGCCTTTATTCTTGCTTTTATTCTGCCAGGGGGAATACTAACTCTTAGGAACTGCTGTAAGGTTCTGTGATCCACAACAGAGACTGAGGACTTTAGAACAACTATCATTTTGAGTAAGGTTTTCTCAGCGGGTGGTAGTGGTGGTGTCATATTTTTAAAGCCAGTTTCCAGTGCAGCAGCTTCCGTTTTCCACTCAGGGCCACTATCAGCCTTTTCTAAACCACTCTTCCTGAGCGGCAGAGAAAGAGAGCTGCACACAAGATGATAGGAAGAAAGAAATGTCATTGCTTAGGTCTTAAGTACAGACTAAAAGCCTCTCCAACACATGATGGAAGGATCATTTAATGCTCTTCTTGTGGTTGCACATCTCTACAGAGAGGCTGCTTTGCCAATAGCTCATTTTAAAGGCTGGTAGAGTTTGAGAGGTGGTGGATTTCACAGAGAAAATCCTGTTGACTAAGGGTATAGTGCTTGACTCCAAAAGGCATGAATAGAACTTGAACAAAGAGAGGCACAGGAGCAGAGAACTGCAGTTCACATGGAGGGAACTCCAGCCAACTCCTGTTTGTATGGGCATCCACTGCTATGGAGAAAAACTACTAATATCCTTCAGCTCCAGACATGACTTCATATCCTAAGGCACGCTCCATCCACGTACCTTTCAAAGCCAGCAGCATCACTCCTGCTCTCACTGACCCCAAGAAAAAGCCACAATCACCCTAAAACTTTTGTCCACATCTGCTTTGGCCCTGATGAATGCCTGGACCGCAGATTGGATCATGGGACTGAAAGAAAGAGCACAGAACAGAGCATAGGAGGGTTGTGAGTTCTGGCTGTGCAGGAGAAGAAACATTTCAGGGCTGAGAAAGAGCCACCCAGATTGATTTGTTTGCATTCATCAGGTTTTGTTACCATTCCTGAGGGGGTTTGTTGAGTACACACACTTGACTTTTATTGGTGCTGGCAGGGATGGGACCCTCTGCACTTCATTTTTGAGGAATACAGAGTTTGTCCTGCTTGTTGCCCTTTGTCCACCAAAAGCCGAGATGGAAGAATGGAGATCTGGAACTGATCTTTAAGAAGTCCCCATGTCAGTTTTGCTTCACAAGTGCTCTACTTGCACTCAGCAGCACTTGGTCTGTACTACTGTGCTTCAGTTATTCTTAACATTAAGAACAGCAGTACTACAAGGAATTAATTAGGGACCAATTAATTGTGAGACAGCAATGCAGTCAGCAATGAAGTCGGCAAAACCTGGCCTCCCACAAGCATCTTACTTCCTTCTGACTGTTGCAGGCCTTCCTGCCCAGTAAAAAAATCTCCCAATCTCGGTACAGGAGTCTCCATAAGGATGAGAAATCCAAGGGAATTCCCTTAATTCCACAGATCTTTCCTCCATTTGATCAGTGCAGTGTCACAGAGAACTCAGATAAAAAGGTATCTGCCAGCTATGGGCCTTTGCTGAAATCATCCTTTTTTCTTTCATTTTTTTTTCTCTCTCAAATGCAGCTAAGAGAGGGAACTATGAACTCTCCCAGAGCTGAACTGCAGCTGAACAGGGAAGCCACAGTTTTGCTTCATCACTTGAAGCACAGGCACAAAACCTACTGTGAGATGGAGTAACATAAAAAATATATCCCACTGTAGAGGGAACTCCAAAATCTGGGGAGCTGCAGGGAGAGGATGTCCAATTTTAGGAGCCTACTCCAGTGTAAGATATGTCTGGTAAAATGGTTGGAGGCTGCGTGGGCCCAAGTGTTCCAATTCCAACCTTTTCTGTTGTAGGTTTTTCACTGCAAACTGCAGTGGGGAATATGGATCACCAAACACAAAACCACAAGCAACAGAAAGTGAGGAACACATATGTGCTTGCCCACAGCACTGCTGCCTGTAAGCTGTTCTCCAACCAACAAAAACATCTCAGTGGATGGAAAAGATGAACAGGCCTGGTTGCCAAGTCATGGCCCGAACTATTCCAGGGGCAGAAAAGACAGCTGGACTGCTGGTAAAGAACAGGGCTATTTAAGGAGACTCACTCTGGCCTAATGGAAAATGCAAGGATAGAATTATCAATTATTTTACACTAACCCAACATTTCAGATCCAGGAAAAAAACAATCACAAGGAAGCAGAAGAGAGAAGCTGGTTAGATTCGGCTGGCAGCTCAGTCCAGGTACAGAAAGAGCAGAATGTGCTGCCCTTTAGAAGAAAGAAAATTAACTGTTTTTCAGAAGATGGTGATTCTGGAGTGTTTCAGCCTACAAAGCAAACTCCAAATGCACTTGCACTGCTGTTCCAAGCACTGACACAAAGTTGATGTGATCACAGGGCCTTGGGTTATCACAAGGAGCCACAAAAGCCATCAGTGGAACTGAGATAATGAAATTATTTTTGGATATATAGCTATATGCTGATATTTTAAGTCACACTGCTGATCTGCTGTCTCTCTCAGCCTCAGGGCAGCTACTCCTGCTGTGCTGCACAGTGTTCCATATTAAGAATTCCTATGCAAAACCCTGGCTGCCAGCCAGAAGGCATGTTAGAGAGCAAACACACAGAGCCAAATAAACAACAGTCCCAGAGACTCTGAGAAAGGCCCAGTACACAACTGCCAAGGGGGACTCCGAGCTGAAATCTCCTCAAGAGGGAAAGCTCTTCAGCATGACCTTCAAATGCAGCTTTGTCTGCTGCAAACCCTGCTGTAACTGAACTTCTCCCTGTCCTTTCACCACGGCCTTGGTCCCAGCCTGTTGACAGCCTTAGCACAGCCTCAGCTCTGCCTTCAGATGCTCAGAAGTCACAGCAGCATTTAGCAGGGTTTGTAATGAGGGAGGGAGGGCAGCAGAAAACTCTTTGGTTTTCTTTCACAGGAATGCTCTGATCAGTGCCTATTACAAAAAAGGACAAAACCTTTGCTTTATAATTCAGTCCAAAGTGCCAGTTTAAAAGAATTCTGAACATCTCTGTGCCCTGTTCCTCAGCACTTCCTCTCACAGTTACATATTTCAACAGGCAGCTCTATAAATATGTGTGGCAGCCCCAAAAGCTGAATGTCATGGTGACTGATGAAACTTTTACAAGAAATCCTCAGGATTTCTCAAAATTGACAACTTAGAACAACTTTTGTAATTTCTGTTCAGGGCAGAAGCAGACTACATCTTTTGGAGATTCAAATATGCATGCACCAAAGAATATCTTGTTTACACTGTGTGTTCCAGGCTGTACTGGAGCTGTAGTGCTTATTCACAGCACAGGGTGTAGCACTTTCTGCCTTCCAACAAACCAGCAGCACTTGATTTTGAAAGCCAGAACATCCTTTTGTCTTGTTTGCTCTCCTGGGACAAACATAAGTGGATCAGGCAGGGAAGCATTCCAATCCACAGCATGGGGAATTCAGCAGGTATCAACTGGATCTGGAAATGAAGTTGGTCTAATATGCTGCTGTCATAGCAGCTCAGATGTAAGAGAAAAAGTAAATTATACTTCCTGGCTCTCTGTGTCAGTGGAGGTGCTGCAACGTGTTTTACAATAACCCTCAGGTCCCAAACAATGTTTTCATCTGAGTGGTTTTATTCAGCCTCACAAAATCCCAGGGGAACATTGCTGGAAATAACATTCTCCCCATCTATTCCCATGGCTGCACAGCCAGTTCTGCGCCTCTAGCCTGGCTGATGTTAAACAAACCTGGGCCTGGGGCTGTGGTGGATCTGAGTCAAAGCCTCCACTGAGAGCATTGGGGTATTTAAGGTGACTGCACAATCTTGGAGTGACAGGTAACTGCTGGAGGACACCTCTGGTCAACTCCCAGTCCTTCCACCCTGTCAGAGTGGCCAGGGCAGGACCTGGTATTCACTCACACTTGGCATTTGTAAATGGCAAAAATGTTTGTACCAATGGGATTTTATTGGGTCCATCTCTAGGGGTGATGTATTAAACAGAAAAAAATCCAGCTTTTCTGGTGTAAGGGTATGTTACAGTTGCCAGGGACGGAGAGCTGCAGTTGCTGGCAGTCCCAGACAGCTGCTATTTAAGGGTATCTATAAATATGAAGCACAAGTCCCAAAAACCCATCTGGAAATCCCAGGGAGAAAAAAGTTATCTTAAATGCTAAAATTAGATGTGACTAATCCCAGTTCTGTGGGCACAGGAACTAGCTGATTCCTGCCCAGGTTGGACCAACAGCTCCTGAGATGACTGAACACCAGGTAGTATCACTTTCCAGCTGTGGAAGGATTTGCTTTGGCACTTGGTACCATTGAGGCCTCCACAGGGAGAACTGCTGAGCAGAATTTTGCTGCTGTCCTGGTTCTGGGAACATTCTGAAAGGACACTTGTTTTGTTGGCTGGCAGCTGCACAGAAAACTCTGGAGGGATATATTGGTGAGCCCCACAAGTCTCTGACCTGTCTCACCTTCTATTCTCAGAGTATTAGCACAATTCACTTAGGATATGTGGGGACTGGATCAAATCCAGGAGAAGAGATTAGTTAGGTCTAAGGAATTGGAGGTCAAGCAGAGAAAGGTCAAAAGCCATCACACACATGGCACACAGCACCACAATGTCCAGTCTTGTGTAGGTCAGCCCAGAAATTGTTGACCAAGGTGTGTCACCTGCCCCAGGAAGCAACCAAGGCCTGAGGCTGCTGCCCTCCCAGCACTGTAACTTACCCATGAAGAAAAGTTCCGGGGACTTTTTGTCTGTAGCAAACTCTGCCATGGGCCCACCAAACCGCAGCCACAGCCCGAAGGCAATGACAGCCAGTCCTGCCAGCTGCAACACAAACAGAGCAGTCAGGGCTGCAGTGACAAACGGCTGCAGAGCGTCACAGCGGTGTCTTGGCACCTTGTGCTTTCTTGAAATCCCACAGCTCAGAACTGCCCTGTCAGAAGATTCATGCAGCACTAGCCAGGGTCTGATAACAACAAATTCCTATTACAGTGCACAGCACTTCTTTCTTTCAGCTCTTCACTGTAGTGGTGCTTCTGAACTTACTAGTGACTCTCAAAGCTTGTCAGTCATTTAATTATCAAAACTGGGCCTGAATTGTCATGAGAAATGGAGTGGGCAGAGGACCCCCACCAAAACTAGGAGGTGCAAGGATTGCTACTGGGTAGATATCTTGGATCACAGAAATTACAAACCAGTGATAGAAGCTGTCAAGTGCAAGGAAAAAAATCTCTTTAATGTGAAAAAGACCAGGTCACAAAGGAGTGTCACAGGATGTTGTTTGAGGGGAAGATCTATAATCAGAGGTCTCAGCCTCACCATGTGCCAGACAGATCATCAGGCTGCCAGGCAGTGCTGTATAAACCTGGCAGAGAACTCCAGCATCCCTCAGGAGCAGAGCTGTGTGTCCTGCAGGCATCTCCAGCATCCCTCAGGAGCAGAGCTGTGTGTCCTGGCAGAGAACTCCAGCATCCCTCAGGAGCAGAGCTGTGTGTCCTGCAGGCAGCCCCAGCATCCCTCAGGAGCAGAGCTGTGTGTCCTGCAGGCAGCTCCAGCATCCCTCAGGAGCAGAGCTGTGTGTCCTGGCAGAGAATTCCAGCATCCCTCAGGAGCAGGCACAGTGTCCTGCTGCTGTCCAGGCCCAGAGCCTTGTGGCACCTGCACAACCTGGACAAGGCTCATAAACACCTGCTGCTTCCCATGTGGGTGCCAGCCTGGCAGTGTACCCCTAACCTGTCCTGCATTCCTTGGCACTTGATCCACTGGCAGAGCTCCACAAGCCAAGAGAGACAGCAATTGTACAGCTGGAGAGCTTGAGACCATGGCTTTCCCCACAGATGTGTCCTAGCAGAGGGTGAGGGTCCCCTGCCACCCTGTCACAGCATGGAGACCTCACCATTGGCAGCCTTGGGCTGCCAGGGTCTCTCCAGGCTGTGGAGTGCCCCTGGCAGTTTGGGATTAATGTCCCAGCCAGCTGAGAGATGGTTCATTCCATCTCAGCAAAAAGGCAGATAACAACACACAGTACTTGTCACTTTTGAGAAACAAATAACACACAGCTTTGTCCTTCTGCTGCCTTGCAGCTGCAGCTGGGCAGCAATCACACTGCCCCTCCAGCTCGAGCACAGCAGCACTGTGTCCCCGGAGCACGCAGTGCTGTCACCACGAGGAAACAGCCTTTGGTTTGACTGTGCTTCAAGCATAAAGGAGACAAAAGCCCAAAACTGCTTGGTCCAGAGAGGCTGAACAGGATGACTTTGTGGCTTCTTTTAAAAAGACCCCAGTGAATCAGAAGGAAAGAAAAAGACATTTAAGAAGATAACATTGCTGATTGTTTTCTGGAAAGCTGAAGGGAGAACAGAGCATGAGGGAAAGTGAGAGAAGAGAAAGCGTGAATTCAGCAGTGTGGAACTGTGAGACTATTGAAAAGGTGCAATGAGGGGAGAATGGACACAGCATTCCCTAAATCTCTTGGGGTGATGCGAGGACTTTGTCTTAGGATGATCTTGTAGCAGCTGTTGGCTCCCTATTTGAAATGACATTACTATAAAGCACTGTGATGCTGTGAAATGTTCTGCTCACTGCACTGTACTGGGGGAACCTCTCCCAGCCTCCTCCTGCAGCCGCGTGGTTGCCGGGGAAATGATCGCTACTTTAAATGATCCGTTTAGACAGAAGCTGTCTCTGCTCAGCAATGTCATCTTACACCGAGCCGGTGCTTTCCCAGGCAGCGCTGCATCTCGCTAGGAGCGAGCAGAAGCCGGAGCGCTGCCCGGGCGCTCCCGCAGCCTCAGCTCGGGCAGCGATCCCGCGGGGCTGCCCGGAGGGAGCCGCGCCCGTGCCGCCCGCCCGACCCTCGGCCCCGCAGCCGCAGCAGGTGCCCGGCCCCGCCCGGCCCCGCTCGGCCCCGCTCGGCCCCGCTCGGCCCGGCGCGGCGCTCACCCAGAAGGTCAGGTTGAAGATGAAGAGCAGGATCTTGATGCAGCGCATCCCCCCATAGCCCACGCCCATGGCGGGCGCTCCGGCAGCAGCTCCCGCGGCGGCTCGGCCCGACTCCGGCGGGGCGGCCCCGGGGGCAGGTGCGGGGCCGGGCGGGGCCCGGGCGGATCCGCCGACCTGGGCCCGCCCCGGGGCGGACTTTGTGCCCGGCGCCGTGCCCGGGGGTTCCCGCGGCCGCAGCTGCCCGGGCGGGGCACAGGCGGGGCCGGGCACCCCGTTGGCCCCGTGCGCTCCGTGAAATCCCTCTCGGCGTCCCGTGTGTCTCTGAAAGACGCTCAGATCTTGCAGATGCTGCCCACAAAATTACAGGCAGGATCAAGAATGTGATGTCGTTAAACTTGTCCTGGTTCATAGCCATAGCTAAGAGCCCCTTCATTTTCCAATCATTAATTTGTTCTCTAATTTGACCCAAAACTCTGACTCTGCTGTCAAAATCGTATAGGGTTTTTTTCAGCTGCTCCTTCGAGGTCTCCAGTAACTCTGAATCCAAAGTTGCCTGTGGGGCTTTGAGACAAGGGACCACGAGGTTAAGTTGTGTCTCTGGAAAAGTGGGGTTTCTACGTTAAACATTTCCTCTCCTTATTTAACGAATAAAACACTTATTTCCTATTTATTTTAGTTTGCGCTCTAGCCACAACTGTAGAGTTATACCTACTCAGATTATTTACATGTTTTGAATAAGTTTTCCCTGAGGTGTGTATGGAAACCATGCAAAAATGTGTGGGAAAAGATGTTTGGTGTTGTTATTTCAAATTATACTCATCTAATGACGCAATAATACCAAAGGATGTTGGAGGTGGTTTCCTTTTTCACTCACTTCATTTTCAGCTGCGTTAAAGCCTGGCCATATTTTGGAAAAATAATCCCAAACAGTTTATTTGAATTGCAATGACAATTTAATTAATAGTATCTTATTCCATTTGCAATGAATTGCAATGAAATACACTTTATTGGTTTAGTTGCCTGGTTTTTTTTAAAGAAACAGTGAATCTACCCTGTAACTCAGAGTAAACCCCCACAATTTCCCTTTTTTGCTTCTGTGATGCTCTGTTAGATGGTGTTGACCTACCAAGTCCAATGTATTCCTTCTAAAATAACAAAAGCATGAATGCATTTGAATAATCAAAATAACTTCAAGACAATGAAATGCATCAAACAGTAGCAAAAGTCTTCATTATCCTCTGAGACATTTGAAGCAGAGGAAAAACGAGAGAGTGGTTTTGCCTTGGATTGTGATGGCAACAAAAATAAATATTTTTAGAAGTCTTTTATTAGGCTTCTTTATTTCTCTTGTAATTTTCATGCTGATTTTCTCTGAAAGTGTAGGGATGAAGCATTCAGCCGTCATAAGTAGTAGGTCTCCTTCCCACATGATTCTTGCAATGAGTTAATCCCAAGGTGCTGCTTTTCAGCACGTGGTTCTTGGCATCTCTCAGAGGCACCTCAGCTTCCTCGGGCACTGCCCAGGGGTCACACAGATTTGGGTGCCCGGGGAGGTTCAGGCAGGGTTGGGTGCCCAGGGGCAAAGAATTGGCAAAAAGTCACTCATGAGGCTCTGCTGGGCTTGGTTTTAGGGCCAGTGTCTTCATAAACAACTCGGATCAGGACTCAAAGGCATACTGAGGAATTTTGCTGACAACACAAAACCGGGAAGAGATGTTGACTCAGAGGCAGAGAGATCTTGATAAATGTGAAGGACACGGGCAAGTGCTGAATTCTGCACCTGGAGAGTTGCAAGACCTGGTAACCCTGGATGTACTGGCAGACTGGGAGTGAGACTCTGGAAAGCAGTGCTGTGGAAAGGCACATGGGGTCCTGGCATGGCGAGTTGGATCTGAGTCAGTGTGCCCCGGAGCCAGGAGGGACATCCATGGCAAGCTGGATCCGAGTCAGTGTGCCCCGGGGCCAGGAGGGACATCCATGGCAAGCTGGATCTGAGTCAGTGTGCCCCAGGGCCAGGAGGGACATCCATGGCGAGTTGGATCTGAGTCAGTGTGCCCCAGGGCCAGGAGGGACATCCATGGCGAGTTGGATCTGAGTCAGTGTGCCCCAGGGCCAGTAAGGACATCCCTGTCCTGGGGGCACCAGGCATTACAGGCTGAGTGAGGGACGGATTGCCCCATTCTGCTCTGGGCTGAGGAAGCCTCACCTCCAGTGCTGGGGTCAGTTTTGGGTGTCACAAAATGAGGATATAAAGTTGTTGGAGCTGTCCAAAGGAAGGACACGAGGGTGATGAAGGGTCTCGAGGGGTTTCGAGGAGTGGCTGAGGGCACTTGGTTTGTTGAACACGAACGAGCCTGAGGTCAGAGCTCATCGGGGGCCGCAGCTCCTCCCGAGGGGCAGCGGAGGGACAGCTCCGGTCTCTGCGAGCAGGGACGGGACTCAGGGAAGGGCTGGAGCTGTGTGAGGGCACGGTCAGGCTGGAGCTCGGGAAAAGGGTGCTGGCACTGCCCAGGCTCCCCAGGGAACGGGCACGGCCCCGAGGCTGCCAGAGCTCCAGGAGAGTTCGGACAACGTTCCCAGGGATGCGCAGGGTGAGGTTTGGGGCTGTCTGTGCAGGGCAGGGGTGGATGATCCCTGCGGGTCCCGGGACATTGCTCAGCTCCGTGGCGGTGCCGCGGTTCCCGCTCGGGCCCCTCACGGCCCGGCCGTGCCGCGGGCGGCAGCGCCCCCTGGCGGCTCGGCCGTGCCCGCGCGTCCCTCACGGCCCGCGGTCAGCGGCTGAGGAGAGCAGCGGCTCGGAGTGCCGGGCTCTGCCCGCCGAGGGCTCCCCGAGTGCCGGGCTCTGCCCGCCGAGGGTTCCCCGAGTGCCGGGCTCTGCCCACCGAGGGTTCCCTGACTGCCGGGCTCTGCCTGCCGAGGGCTCCCCGAGTGCCGGGCTCTGCCCACCGAGGGCTCCCCGAGTGCCGGGCTCTGCCCGCCGAGGGCTCCCCGAGTGCCGGGCTCTGCCCGCCGAGGGCTCCCTGACTGCCGGGCTCTGCCTGCCGAGGGCTCCCCGAGTGCCGGGCTCTACCCGCCGAGGGCTCCCCGAGTGCCGGGCTCTACCCGCCGAGGGCTCCCCGAGTGCCGGGCTCTGCCCGCCGAGGGCTCCCGGCCCACCGAGGGCTCCCCGAGTGCCAGGCTCTTGGCCCACCGAGGGCTCCCGGCCCACCGAGGGCTCCCTCACTGCCGGGCTCGCAGCCCACCGAGGGCTCTCTGCAGAGAAGCACAAAGGTGGTCAGTGTTCTCATTCCGCAGCCTACTCGGAACAAATCAATATCGTTAAGGGAAGTAGAGATGCACTGAATTTTTTTGTCAGTAGGATTATCAGATTGTGAAGGAGTCATTTGCGTGTTAGACAATTCATGGTGTATTCCATGAGCTGCTGTAGTTAGTCCTGTTTGCTGGGAAGAGTGACATTTCCATCTGGAACATGTCTAGCTTCAAAATCCATGGATGGAAATCCATGCGTGGATTTTAATGCTTTTTATATTTAAGACCCTTCTGTTATCAAAGTGTCCTTTCCCCCTGAGGTTCTGAGATGAAACAAGCATGTGGATATTTGTAACAGACTTCAAGTCTGGCAATTTCTTTGCAGTTAGATTTAAATTATGCAGATCCTGGGGCAAAGAATATTTGATTTTGATTATTTTCTGATTGCAGATCATGCTAGGAAACTTTTCAGCCAAGTGTTATCTAACTGTAGCACTAGGTGTTCAGATACTGATAAACACATGGAATTACTTACAGTGACAGATGGATAAGAAACTGTCCTTACTAGAGCAAGTGCTGTTTAATTTCAATTACCAAAAGACAGCCTGAGTTATGATTCCCATAAATACAATCCTGACTTGAGAATTAAAATATTTTAAAATGTATTTGGGTAAAGGGAGGGCGTGAACGTTACAATTTTCCTTCCAGATCTGACCTACCCTTCCTCTGTTTTTCAGTCTTCCAAACGGTTCTCTGGTAACCTATTAACCTTTCAGATATCAGGAGAGCACAATATTCTTTTTCCTTTCCGGTGTTTGACTGTTTCCTATGTGGTTTACAATTCCAGTTTTATGCTTTATGAACAGCAAAACTCCTATGAGTGTTTCTTAGCTCTGCAGATGATTGTTCAGATTTCACAGAATTAAAGAATAAAATTATAGAATGGTTTGGGTTGGAAGGGACCTTAAAGCTCATTCAGTCCCACCCCCTGCCAAGGGACACCTTCACTATTCCAGGTTGCTCCAAGCCCTGTCCAACCTGACCTTGGACACTGCCAGGGATCCAGGGACAACCACAGCTGCTCTGGGCACCCTGTGCCAGGGCCCCACCACCTTCACAGGGAAGGATTTATTCCCAGTATCCCACTTAAACCTGCCCTCTGGCAGTTTAAAGCCATTCCCCCTTGTCCTACGTGCTTCCTGTTTCTCAGCTGCTTCTATGCATGATAAGCTCAAATTCCTTGTTCAGGGTCCAAAATAGCCCTTCCGAGTACGAGGAGGAGCTTTCATAATAAAAATAATCTTATTCCTTGATTTAAATATTCAATTTACGTGGAACTACAACTGCTTTTCAACTCCAAGCAAACAGCCCCAAACCCATACTGGACTCCCATTCTTCCAGGGACAATGAAACTTGCATCATACCTTTGGCATCTGTGGGGCTGTTTCCATTTCCACTGAGTAATTACCGGAATTCTGGGCCTGGCAACTCTGTCTCTGAATGCAACTCAGGAATTGCTCCCTGGAATACAAAGGAGGTCATAAGGGACTGTATTTTTCCAAGTGTTTGGGCAAATTCTCTGCTCCTTTGTTTCCTTCCATGATTTTAATTTTTTTTTTTTTTAATATATTTACTTGCTTTGCATCAGGCACTTGCATGCTGGGACAGTCTGCAAAGCTCACATGGGTCTGTTGAGAACTGCTTAGATGCCCCGGCAAACACACTGGCCTTGTTTTCTTTTTTCAGGAGTGTTCAGAATATGCTGTGCTTCAAATCCCGGCCTGTCTCTGAAAGCTGTGTCTCAGAAAATGCATTGCAAGGGTGTAAAATCCCAGAATCCTGTCATTTCAACAGCAAGCATGATCTGGGTATTGTTTCTAGTATCACCCCTTATAGGCCAAGG